CTCTCTCTCTCACACACACACACACACACACACACACACACACACACACACACACACACACACACGCACACACACACACACACACACACACACACTGCGTGTGTGAACATGTACCAAATGTGGGACAAGAGCAATGAACAGACCTAAGTAAAAAATCCTTGCGGACTCGGATGAATAACATAACAATGAATTACTCGGGGCCACTCAGTTTGATGATGATACCTCAATGCCGTCGCCTTTCAAACCACCGCGACCCGAGCTTCTTTTTCCAAAAACGAATGTGTGCTGTGCGCGAAGGAAAAGACAAACCACCGCGACCCGAGCTTCTTTTTACAAACCTGTGCAGCACACAGTTTTTTCCTTTTAAGCTGCCATCGCCAGTCAAACAGATCCGGCAGGCTGAGCGGCCTGAGCCCCTATCGATGAAGTGAAGTAACTGCAGCGTCTGAACAAAACAGATCCGAGACAGTGGTGGTTTCGAAAATAAAATAAAAACGAAAACATGAAGTTGTGCTACCAGCATACATCAGCCTGTGCCATGCAGCACATTGAGATTTGGCTGTGGTCCGTGACCAAAACTTGCACAAGCAGGTCCTGCGCGCCTCGGCGCAACATTTCCCTGGCGATCGCAGCGCGCGCATGGTCAGGCCCGTGATTTTGCCAGGTAAGTCCCACCAGGGACTATGACACGTGATCCAGTTGGTGCCTGTGCAGGTGGGCCCAGAATCACTCAAGCTGTATAGAGACAGCTGTTTTGGGTCCCAGCGACCGTTTCAGATAAACGAAACAGAACGAGTTTGGATACGCAGAGAAGCACCTCATCAGCCCATGGCTTGGTCTTCTGGGTTCTTAAAGCACCACTACCCAACAGCCATTGCGCCCAGAGTACCCAGGTGTGGGGGCCAAATGAACTGCCCATGGCTTGGCCTTTTGGGTTGTTAGATCACCACTATTCAACAGCCATTGCAACCACAGTACCGAGACACTGAGGGATAATCAATCGCCTATGGCTTGGTCTTCCGGGTTGTTAAACCACCACTACCTACAGCCATCGTTGCCAGGATGGAGTTGGATGCAGGGCAGGCCAGTTCATACATTGAAAATGTGACTGATGCGTATACCAATGCACGGTGTTTCACAGTTCCCAGTCGGTGGTGCTTTTCACCACGATGACATGGCCCCAGCCTTGCATGATTTCTTCATCACCTACTCCTAAAATTTCGGAGGCTTGGCGCTACCAAGCCACAGTGGCTGGTGACGCCAGCAAAAAAGAAAAGAAGTGTGCCACTGGTGGTTCGGCAAAGCTTGGCGCGCAGTGCAGCGCTGCCAGCTCCGGGTGTACTGGTGGTTGAAGACCTTCAGTGCGTGCTATTTTCTCTCCAGAGTCTCCACCTAAGCTCCATATTCCATACAATAGCCACCGAAGTCAAATAATCCAGTAACTAACCTTTAGGGAGCGGAACAGAATGGGTTCAGATAAGCGGAGAAGCATCTCATCAACCCCTGGCTGGGTCTTTTGGGTGGTCAAGCCCTTTAGAACTGTTCTCAAGGATGAAGCAAACTCTGCCTTTTTTGCAACAACTGCAGCAGCTATGAATCCCTGAGTTTTACAAAACACAAAACAGAGGCAGAAGGAAAGAAAGTCAAAAGACCAAGAAACTTGTATTCTCTGTGGTTAGGTGACTGCATGGGTCCTGGAGACCATCTCACGCAAGTGTGTACATGCCATGCATCGTTCTCCCACACACAACGAACAGTAGTCTGATAATAGGTAGAGAAGATGAGAACCGAGTTTCACAGCTTATATTATCAAAAATATGGATACAAAGTGTTTCAAAGTTTCCCTGAGTCCAGCGCTCATCAGCGCAACACCAATATCTTGCCAACTCATCAATATGCCTTCCAGTGAATCAGTGCTACCC